GGTTTTGTTGCCTGACCTTGAGTGAATAAGCCAGCGAGGAGCCAGCTTGGCTGGTTTTAGCCTAATTTACTCCATCCACCGCAAGAGTTTGGCTGTAACCTGTCGCACAGGAGGCACTTCTAGAGAGAAGAAATCATGGTGTCCTCCCATGAGTGCGTGTAGTACTTAAGACGCAAGTTAAAGAGACAAGAAACATGCAGGCTACATCAAAAGAGGGAAAACCAGCAGAAAAATAACACGGGGAAGAGAAATGTGAAACACCACATTGTACTTGCACTGTGTACAGTTTCTCCATTCTCGGAACACAGTAGAATTAATTTTTGCCAGGATGCTCACATAAATTCTAGCAAATCAAACTCAAGGAGAAGACTAACGTAACAAAATAATTTTTGCTTTTTAAAATGCAAAATTGTGTTTAAATTGCCTCCTTGTCCAAGCCACAACAAGCTGTTTCCCAGTGTACTCTGGGAACTACAGAATCAGAGGTGTTCTCCCAATAACTAACAGAACCAACAGGCTTCTTACTCCCTCCTTCCTTACCGAAAAGTTAAACCAGACTCAAGCTTAAATTCCAAGCCAAATTTTTCTCATCTGTTTTCATACTTTTTCCCCCTCCTCTAACCAATTTTAATAAACCTGAGCTCTAGTGTGGCTCACACGTTTGAAAGACAAATTGCTTACAGGCAATCGAGAAATATAGCTCAACCTACAAGACAAGGAAACGGTGCTTCACTCCCACACCAAATCATGAGAAACGGGACATACTCATTTCAAGCGCCCTCAAAGCACTTGAGAGAAGCTCTTTTTCTAGCAAAGAAAGGAATCAGTCTTTGTTCTGACAATACTTCAGAGGAAGATGAATTAATTATCTCAAATTTGCTACTAACATCCTCTCTTCATACTTAAGTAGGGATTACTAGTGCTCTGCATATATAAAAATAATCAATCTTAACCGACTGAATGAGAGTTAAAACACTATAAATCATAATTTAAGCCCACCATGAAGTATTTTTGGAGGTCAAGTATTTTTGACAAGAAAAAACAGCGGCAGCTCCTGGCCCTGTGCTCCCTTGACATCACTTCCAAGTGACCCGAATGCCACGAGCAGGATCTGCCACCAGTCTGGGCACTCCTGCTCTCCCTCTCTGCTTTTCCCTTGGTGTTGTTACCATAGGGCACTGGTCACATTAAACTCTGTAATAAAAACTCAAACACTTTGAAAGCAGCCCCTTGATTCGTATGTACTTCAGCAAAGACCCGAGTTAAACGAGTTAGCTGCAAATATGTCCGCTTTCTACTTTTCCGTTACGGAGATGCAGTTAAAACTCAGTTCAAATTCAGAGCGCTAACACAGCATTTTGAAGACTTATTCCGCCTTCTAGAAATTCCCACTGAAAAATTTATTTGAAAACAAATTAGTTGATACTAAGGTAAAAATTCGCATGAGTAGCTTGTGCGAAGCCTTATTTCCTTTTGCCAATTTGCAAGGATTTATTATTTAAAATACAGACCATACCCACCCAGAGATTACTGCAGTTCCGTGTTAGATGTGTCAAAGGGACTGCTTTCTTTACAATGGTCAATCTCATCATGTGAATACAAGCTCTTCTGTTTTAAATTCCTAAGTAAACACATTCATAACTTGCTCAAGCCCGTAAGGACAGCAGGGTATTTTATAAGATGAATTTTGAGAAAGATTCTTTTGGGAAATAGTTCTGTCAAACAGTTCTTCCAGAGAGCAGGTAAAGTACAGAAGCCAGCTGGCACCTACAGAGAGAACTAAGCACCACCTCACATGTTGTAATAAAGCTGAAGCCTTGCACCCTAATGAACACTTGCTGCATCAGCATCAGCCCTTTTTTCCTTTATATTTTCCAGCACCCAAGCTGCCTGTTAGCAAGTGCAAATCTACTTGACAAAAGTAAAACAAAAAAAAAGATGCTCAGTTTCTCTTCAGATTTTAAATGGAGAAGTGATTGCATCTTTTTTTTTTTTTGTCTGGTGAGGAGAGAGTTTACTAACGAAACACCAAAATGTTTGATTGTGAGGGTGATACACAAATACCCATTACAGTCTAATTAAGCTGATAAATTCCATTTTCAGCTCTACAGGGCAGATTTTAATCTGCTTCCAGTGCTTTCAGACCGTTTGTACATACTAGAGGGATATGTGTGTTCATTAAGAGAATCTGGACTGTAGCAGGACTGCTCTTACATGTATGTCTATAGTACATTATGCACACTTTGATTTATTCCTTTGTACAACGGCTCAATTTTAGGCGCAGTGTTGAGCGCTGCCACAGTCCCCCAGTGCTGGAAGCTCTTAATCTCTGTTTGCAAGCGTTCCTTTGTCTCCAGGCTAAGGTCGTACTGTATTTTCCTTACTTATTAAAAATAGCTGGTAGTATTGTCAAATTAGTGGGATTAACCTACTTTAAAAAAGGAAATTAGGTCAGTTACTATATTCATGCTCAACCTTCAACTCTCATGTATTGTCACCGCTCTCCCGCATCCTACCAAACAGGCATCTTCCTGTGGAAAATACGTATCAGCAGGGCAGCCTGCTTCATCCCACGCTCCAGCACAACACCGGCACAAACATGGCGGGGTAAAGGCCCCATCGCTTGTTTTCAGTCCCTGCTGATACAAACCTCTTGGGCAGAAAAGAAACACTTACTCTAGATTAAGAGGTGTCCCATTAGCAGGTCCTTTGCGAAGACAAACTGGGCTGTTACATACTTCTGATATTTGAAACACACCTGGAAATCAGACTCCAAAACAGTTTTTGAGGTTATCTTCACCAAAGCACTGAGGAACGTCCCTTCCAAACCTACCTTACCCGAAAGGAAGACTTAGAAGAAACAGTCGCTGGCAGAGGGATACGCTCGGCCAAGCACCACGCCGCTAATCCCCTCTGACCAGGCATGGGGCAGGGAAGGGCTGACAGTGTCCTGCCTGCAGTAATCGATCTTCGCAGCCACTGTGGCATCTGAAACATGGCACACTGGGAGAAAGAAGCAATTCTTCGTGCTCCATGCAACTGCCGTTCCCCTAGGCTAGATGCCAAATGCGAAGCCCAGCTGCCATGCACCATCAGGAATGCAAGCGCTCACAGGACGGAAGGCTTAGGGGACCACGTCATTGCTCACTCCATCCCCAGCTTTTTAAGTCCCTCTTTGCTCTTGGCCCCTGATATTTTAAATTTTTTTTTTTGCTTAAGTTACTAAGTAAAGCGTAAGTTCAGAAATTACAATTATGCGTTTAGGCAGGGAGCCTGCCACGTGTCCCTGCAGAGAGCTCGCTCCTGCCTCGAGTCACCCACAGCTTCCCCCAGAGCTCTTAAATCTGTTGCTTTCAGAAACGCTTTTACTTCGCAATGCCAAGGAATCCTCATTATTGTCCTCCCGGTAAAAGGACAAGACCAAATTCTAGGCAATACACCAGAGAAAGGCAGAATAGAGAGTTACCCCTCTGGCATCTCTCTGACAATCAGTTTGCAGCCACCCTCACACTTCCACGCTGAAGCAGGAACAACAACGTGGAGGGAAAACACGCTGCAGTTACGTGTAATTTAGCCAGCTAGCTACCCGCAGCTAGGAAAAACAACTGAAAGTTAACAGAATGCTTTTTTCCTCTCAGCTTCAAGTTGATCTACAGCTAACAAAAAGGATCGCAATTTCTACATATCAGTTACACTCCAGGAAAGGGAGGGAGGGAGACAAGAGAAATGAGGACAAATCCAGACTGTACAGGGCAGTCCTTTCTCCAGCATAATGATCTGCCACAGTTCAACCCTTGGCATTCCTTGGGATCCATGTCTCCTTTCCATGCTTACCCACATGCACAGATACTGCTGAGACAGGCTGAATCACCAGGAAGCCTAAAATTATTCAGGAAATGAGAGCTGCTGCAGAACCATCCCCACAAAAGACCATACAGAAGAGCCTGAGGAATCCTCATAAGCACCTTTGTGATTCCACACTACAGTCCTCCAGCAGTGACAGAAATAAAATGCTTTCTGTCTGGTTTTGGTGTTGCTTTTGGTTGCTGTTTGGGTTTTGTTCTTTGGTGTTTTTGTTTTGTTTTTTAAAGTGTCCAGAGAACGAAGCACCATACAGCACGTACAGACTCTCCCACCTCCCTGGGTCAGCTGAAAAGCACGCATCAAGGCTACATTAAACAGCATCCTGTGCAGTCTCTCTTCTCGATCTTCTTTAGGCAACGCATGAATTTGCAAGCAAATGTTGCCAGGGCTGTCCCTGAGACTCCCACTGAGCTGCAACTGACAACTTTTAAATATTTTCCTGTTTTCCAGGATCATCTGCACAGGAGCCAACTGAATGTTCCTTAGCTGTGGTCTAGACCTGGATTTTGAAACATGAAGTCGTTGCCTGAACATTACCCAAAATAAACACGCAGACTTCAAGAAGTCAATGCCGGCGGCAGTAGCGACATGCAGATCACAACAGCATTTCTCACTTGGACAGCACGTGACACATAGGTGGGTGGTTTTTGTCTGTAACACCACGAAGCACAAATAGGAAGCAGAAGCAAGTTTCAAACATAAATGCAACCCAAATCAGCTCACACGGGTAAATGAAATGATAGAGATGCCAACTGCAAGATGGACAATCTAAAAATAGTAAGATATTTCTAACACCTTTACTCTTTTGTGGTTCATTACAGATCAAGCAGAATCACATCTTCATTGCATAATAAACACTGATTTTGCGTTGTTAGATGTCACTTCTTCCCAGAGTTAATGGCTTCAAGAACCAGCACACACCTTAATTAAATAAATACCTCCATAACTTGTTTTGTAGCAAGATACTCTATCCCTGATGTTTTCCTCATTGGTCAGAACATTTTGCACACTAACACTGTAAAAACTTGGGAAAAGACACCCCTCCAGCCCTCTGTGCATGAGTAGGTGGGCAGATGTTCAGCTCTTCCCCCACCCAAGGAAGGAACAACATTTTCCAGAGCTCACATGCTCCTTACCTTGTGGCAAACATCGCTCTCAGGGAAGAGAAGGTAGCGGCATCTTCTTTCAAAGCCTTCAGCTCATTTCGCAGCTTCATCATGGTCTCGGTAACCATAGCTTTCTCGTTTTCATACTTGCTTTTTAAGTTGGCGAGGGCTACCTCTGCAGTCTGTTTTTACCAAGAAGAACAGAAATGAACTAGTTAATGGAACTCTTCACAAAGGGGCTGGCAAAGAGATTTCTAATCACTATTCACATAATGCAACTTTTACTTTGTACTCGAACGTTAAACTTCTGGCAAACTTTCCTTGTACAGATTAAAAAATTCGTTTCTGAACAGTGGAAATGGATCAGACAGATGTGTCTCCTACTCCCATTAACCACACAGCAGCATCTAGGAAGTTACAGAATATAAATTCAGTGACACCGATCTCCCGCTGTTAAACTTTACATACTTCAACAGGAAGAACAAAATAGTCAATTCAGTACCTCTAAACACATCATCACTTGCCCAGTTCTCTAAAGTGTAGAGCATTTTGCCTATCTTTCGTTTCAGGACATCTTTGTTAAAATGTGCAAAAGAAAATCGAAAGTACATATATATTTCTCAAGCAACACTATGCATTTTTGGCGTTTTTTTTAAAGACAACTTCAATGTGCATTACTTTAACTTGAGAGGAGACAATGAAGCCTGTCACATGGTGTCTTAACAGTAGTTATTTTCATCTACTGCATTGCTAACACGTATCAAAAAGCACAGCCCAATCCCCAAAGACTAATTCTACCCTACGCCCCTGTTATCTTGACCATGTTCTTTTATCCCATCCTCATCTCAGAAGGCTTTCTTTTATTCTGCAATTTGAGACCGAAGAATACTTAAGCGTAAGATCTCTTTAAGAGTAACCACTGGGATTCTTTCAACTAGAAAATAAGATTTACCTCTTCATTTTAGGTGTCTTACAGTCTGTAAAATGTGATACAATTCAGACAGGCAGTAGACTGAAGCTCCCTTAAGCTTAGTGAGTCTTGTCTCATGAGTATGCGACAAGCAAAATTCAGTTAAAGCCTCAGCTCAGCTCTACAGCAGGACATCTGTGTGCCCCTAACGGAACAGCCTGCTTCAGCCCGTACCGAAAAAATCAGTAACAAAAGCCCCATTGAGTCGAGGGTAGGGCAGCATGACCTCAAGGATAAATCTCTTGTCTTTATGACCTAATTCCTCAACATTATTAACCTCCACATCTGTAAGAGCTGGTTACCTGCTTGTTGGCCTTCAGCACAGTTCTCAGAGTAGCTATCTGTTCTCTCTTGGTGCTCAGCAGGGACTTCAGCTTCAGGATTTCCTCCATGAGAGCTTCCTTGTCCTTGTCCACCACTGGCCCGAGTTCTTGAGTGGCAACACGCTGCCTGGACAACTCGGTTGTTCTGTCCACAGCAGCTTGCAGGTGTTTGATCTGATCTCGGATTATAGCGATCAAGTTGTAAATGTTCATCGGTTCCTTCCGAGGATCTGACACAGGAGATGGCAGAGACGACACTGGAGAGGGGCTGCTGTCACTGCTTCCATTCTCTGCCTTTCCTAGCTCGATAGTTAACAGCCCTTTAGAAAGAAGAATGGGAGACCTCCTTCCCTTGGCCTCCGGACTGCTGCGTCCACCTTTACCTTCCTTGTAGTAATCCAGCATCACTCTGTTTGGGGTTTCATTGTTGCACATGCAGACATGGTGGTATAAATTGGCCAGTTCTTCACTGAAGGTGACCAGTTCATCTTGGGCCACACTGAGGCTGCCCTGTGTTTCTCCAGCAACATCACTGACTTTCTTCAGCTCTTTCTCCAGTCTGGCCACTTGCTCTCTATCATGCCTACTGGACTTTTCTAATGAGGTGATCTTCTCAGTGAAAGCTTGGCTCTCGGTCTCATACCTGCTCTTCTCTTCCTCATACTTGGACTCACATTCTTTGTATTTGGCCTTAAGATTTTTGAGCTCTTCTTTCAGGTCACTAATCTCTGACACAGCCACTTTGTACTTGCACTCCAGGATCTCTGGGCCATTGATGTCAACTTCATAATAGTCTCCATCTTCGTGGCTGTCTCGGTCCTTCTCGTTGTCAAGGGCAGACTGACGTTCCTTGCTGACCTGGAGCTTCTTCATTGCATTCAGGTTTTCGGTGAGTCTGCCAACTTTCTCATGCTGCTCTGAGAGGGCGCCCCGCGTATTTTCCAGCTGTTTCTGAGATTCCTGTAGCGTTGTTAACAGGTTCACCTTTTCTCTTTCCATCTGAAATGCATGAACACAGGCATCTATGTAAAGGAAACTGCATCACAGAATCCCAGAATCACAGAACAATTCAGGTTGGAAAAGACCCTCGGGATCATCAAGTCCAACCACTGACCCTACACTACAAGCTCACCCCTAAACCATCTCACCCAACACCACATCTAAACGACACTTGAACACACCCAGGGATGGCGACTCAACCCCCTCCCCAAGCAGTCTGTTCCAGGGTCTGACCACTCTTTCTGCACAGAATTTCTTCCTAATGTCCATGAAGAATTTCTTCCTAACGTCCAGCCTAAACCTGCCCTGTTGCAACTTGCAACCATTCCCCCTGGTTCTGTCCCTAATGACCTGTGAGAAGAGACCAGCACCAACCTCTCTACAATGTCCTTTCAAGTAATTGTAGAGCGTGATGAGATCCCCCCTCAGCCTCCTCTTCATCAAACACTTAAATGGTTTTCTTGTAAGAGACAACAACTTAGCCAAGGTCCACATGGTTAGAGAAATCTGATGACTTGCACATTACGGAAAAGGTTATTTAATTTATTTTAAAACTATCTTGAGCACAGGGTTGCCTTACCAATTCTTTCTCAGTTCCCCTTCAAAATTTGACCAATTTGACCAATGTCTTCCAGAGCCGGTGGTCATATTGTGAAAACATCCTTTCAGCTGAAGATTAGCTAAAGTTTGCTGTTCTATCTTGCAGATAATCAAGTAAATATTAGAAAACATGCAGCTAGTCTATGGTGGAAGCTTGCAGCTTCATGAGAGTTTCAAGTTTCTGCTCTGAAAGGTCTCACTTTGAAGAAATCCAACTTTTTTTTTTTTTCCCCCACGAGGGCTTTTTCTTACAGAAGACTCAGAAAATGCTTCACAAAACTTGAAAACATTTCTAGACAACACAAACATGTACCTTGTTTCAAACTCTCCAACCTCCTGACAGCACAAACAACATAGAAATGCCTGGTGCAGATTAAAGCTTCACATTCTTTGAACTAATTACAGAACATAGTTTCAGTTTACAAAACCCCTTTTGACGAAGATGAAGTAACTATCAATTTTTGAACAAAACACTATCTTTCCCACTACTGACATAATGAAGCAGACACAGCATGCATCCCACAGAAGGTGCATTAAACCTTTCTCCAAACACGGGACACGACTGCAAAGAAAAAAGAATTTAAAAAGCAATGCCTTTTCACTGACAAACATTTAACATCTTCAAATTCTAAATCAGAGTCTTTACATACTGTATGGTGGCCACATGAGATCTTAAAAAGCCTGAAATCACAATCCAGATGAACTCCAGCAGCTCTTTGGAAGCACATAGCTGTTTAGGAAATCTACGTACCTGTACAAGCTGTTGTTTCAGCTTCTGGATTTCAGAAATATTTAATTCACTCAGAAGATCTGAAACAAGACTGGGGGCTGGAGGAAAGCTTTCATTTTTCTTAGGTGTTGACGAACTATTCTTGCCATTGCTGAGTTTGCTGAGGCAGTTTTGCTCGAATCCGTTCATGATTTCATCGTTATTGGGCTCGGTGGCTTCATCGCTGAACTTCAGTCCATCCAACGAGATGTTCAGGTGGCTGTTGTACATGGAGTCGTTGATGTTCATGTAGTGAGAGAGCTCCTTACGCAGATTGTTCTTCTGCTCCCGCTCCGTCTTCAGGGTCTCTAAGGCCTCCTCGAGCTGGCGCTCGGAGATCTCCTTCAACCTTATGGCATCTTCCAGCTGGCTGTTGAGAAATTCCGTTTCCTCTTCGAGCCTTTTGATTTCATGCTTCAGGCCTTCAAACTCCACCTGCAGATATAAAAATGGAGGGGAAAAAAACCCAACACCCTAATGAAAATATCTGCCTGCAAGGCACCCAGGAATTTTACTTCTGAATGTCGATTTGGCTAAATATGGCAACAACAATTTCAGTTCTGGACTCTAGTTTCGGCACTAAGAGTGTAAACACTGCATACACAGTTTACCTGCAGAGACCATGGAATAGAATTTCTATGCAAACCATCAAACAAGCTGATCTATTCCACGTTAATTAAGACAGGTGGGAAACACAGTGCCTGATACAGAAGAAGCACAAACCAGGTTTTCCTAGCATTTATGCAAACTCTTCCTCTGTTTGATTGACAGATTCCCTGGCCAACTTTCCCACAAATTAAAGCTCGACATTTCCAAAACCCAGCATGGCAAAGCTGTGCTTCTGACACTCTGCTGCACTGCTCTTAGAATATGCTACTGGGCTTCAAACCGTTGGGATGCACCCAGCAGTCAAAGCCTGCTTTTACACATTCAAAATAAAATGCTTTTATAATTTCTGTTACCATCCTTCCAGCCCATCTTGCGAGCGCTACAATTCACACTCTACACTTCAGATTCAGTGCTGCTACATGAAATCTGATGGCACGCTGAAAAAGTTTTTACCTGTAAAATTGCTTTTTTTAAAACCTGTCTTGCACTGAAATCACAAACATGAACCATTAGTATAAAATTTTGAATCCCTTAGGGGAAAAAGTAAAAACAAACAAGCATGAAGAATTTTTAATTAGAAGTTTTTAGCTTTTAGTTACCTTGAAAGAAAGGAAAACATACCACGTGATATATGACACTATTTATTTTTGCCAACTGCTAAAGGAATTTTAGATGTCAATGTACACCAATATGGTAATGCTGAACCACATCTGATTTTAAAACCAAGAACCAATCATGTTAATTCAGTTTTACAAGTTAAGCCTAGGAAATTTTCATGGCTTCTTCTGGTTATGTCAGTAGAATTATTAAAGCTTCTTAAAATTCATCAAGTAGAATTAGGACAAGGTAGAAAATGAAGTGATCCATGGTGATGAAAAGAATTAGCTCTCGGTTCTATGTATGCCCACTGAGCTGAAATATTGAAGGTTGGACTCTATTTTCAAAGGTTCCAGAACACAAACACAGTAATTTAGATAGCATCTGAGGTTAAATTTGGCTCGGGCTAGAATGACAGCATTCTCAACTATCATTCTTTTCGAACATGAGCATGAAGCTGGGAAACTTTCACTTGCTCCTCTGATTACAACTGATGAGATGCCAAAAATGTAAAAAAAAAAAAAAAAAGTAACCAACTGCAGAGGCTGGATTTTAGCAGATCACTACCTGCTCTAGCCCCTGCATCCTGACTGCAGGACATCAGGGCACACAAAACAGCTTACTTAGACCAGGAATATACATAATCAAATGAATAAATATATTCCAGGCCCAACCTGGAAACCCGTTTGGGGCACATCAGTGAGGCTAAAGTGATAAACACCAACATGGAGTTTCCCCTGGAGATAAGTGAAATACAATCAATATCCCCAATACCTTGCTTGGCAGGGCAGCTTTCACTCAGAACACTAGAGCAGTTCTGAAGGAAATCCTGATAAACTTTCGCTATGTGCTCATTACAACAGACGGTATTAACACCACTGTTTTCCTCAAGAGCTTTTATTTCAGGAATATTATGCCATTTTTTCAACTGAACCTCGAGCATTTTCCACAATGAGACTGACAGGTGTATGAAGAATAAAAATAGTTAGTCCCCAACTGACAGATGAAGATAAGTAAACCCTGCCAAGGACCACATCTAATCTAATTGCCTCCACCAAAAACAAAAAAGAAAAAGTAGATTTTGATTAGATATTTGAAAGAAATTATTTTCTGTAAGAGCGGTGAGACACTGGAGCCGGTTGCCCAGAGAAGTTGTTGATGTCCCCTCCCGGGAAGTGCCCAAGGCCAGGTTGGACGGGGCTTGGAGCAGCCTGGGCTGGTGGTAGAGAGGTGTCCCTGCCCATGGCAGGGGGGCTGGAAGGAGATGATCTTTAAGGTCCCTTCCAACTCAAACTGTTCTATGAAATGACAACGCAGGGAAACTGAGTTGTTCCAAAAATGCAGTTTTCTAAAATTCTGAAAATAGCTGGAACTCTGCAAACCAAACTTTTCGGACGAGCGGTCACACAGATCTGATGGCACAGAGCACCCCTACCAGCAGTCCATGCTTAATGACAGTAGCCAGAGGAGGGGAGGAGTACAGAGCTGAAGTAATACAAGCACTAAGTAGCAATAAAGACATATGGTCAAAAATGCCCCCAGCCAGAGATACTGCAGAAGAGGATGGATGGATGGATGCTATTTAAAGAGACACTGGAAAAACTAGTGTAGCAAAAAACCTAAACCAAGTAACACAGCAGACTGGCTATAGAACGAGTCAGAAAGGACTCAGACACTTTAGGACAATTTTGGGTACTAAAAGTAATAGAAACACAGAGCAGAAGTGATTGGATGTTCAAAAGAGACAGAACCATGCCATAACACAGGAATTAACTGGTGCTACCAAAGCAGTGCTCACTGTTTTGAAAACTTGCCTGATTTTGCTTCAGGACAGACACTTGTTTCTGGAGACAGATGTTTTCCTCCTCAAGCTCAGTGTAGTCTTGCAACAAACGCGCTTCTCTGAACTTATATTCCTTAATATCATCTCGAAGACGAGTCCTTTGGATCTCCACATTCTGATTGACCTAGAAAAACAAAGAAACCCCCAAAGGTGGTGATTTATCAGCTACAATTCAATTTCAAAGTTTTACCTCTCCTTACATGCACTAATCAATTAAATTATCTTTAAACAGAAACTCTTCCCCTCCAAAACAATTACAGTAAAATTAGTCATTTACACAACAGATGAACTTTGTTTTCTTGCAAATTCTCACCCTTAATTCAAGGAAAACTAAATGAGCAAGCAAGGAAAGCGGCATCCACGCTGATGTTGTGAGTCTTTTCACAAGAGATAGGCAGATTGACCCTAGATGTTATTTGGACATGTATTTGCTGCTGCTTTTCAACAGACCTTTTCCTTATGCCCAGCGCAAAAATTTGGGAATACATTCTAAAGAATCCTTTTGGAGAAAGACACCAAGTTAAAGCATAGAAACCCAAGGTCCCAGGTCAAAAGACGTAACAACTGTGGTTGACTTATAAAATGTTCCCTCCTCTCAGCTCCAAGACTTACGTATAAGACCTTAAAGAAAAACTACATACATATATATAAAAAACTAAATCACCATTATTGTTTTGGGGTAGATAAGTAGTAAAAAAATCAATATACTGGTGTAGTACAATCTTTAGATCTTTTGTGAATATGCACAGACACTTAAATAAATTGACCTACACATAGCCAGCTGTGTGAATAGCTCACTGTACTTACCTCTCATTTTCTTCCAGCATTACTTTCCTTTGAACCACATCTTTAAACACCTAATTAGAACATATTTTCCACTTTGTTTTAAAACATTAGCAGAAGTATTTTCGGAGATAAGCAAAAAGGCAACACAGTTGCCTACAGAAATAGCATCCAGATGTTTTAGCAGCCGTAGCCGGGAAGTGACAGGATGGCTCCTCAAACCGTTCTAAACCAGCGCAAAACAAACACAGGCTCGGGAAAGAGGCAGCCTACCCATTCGGCCAGCTGGGTTATGATATGTTATTTCTGTTTTCACCTGTCCAGCAGCCTAGCCATGAAAGCTTCACCCTCTGGTACACCAACTCAGATTCCCTTCGCGTTCTCCACTTCTGCGTAGAAACCAGAACATCAGCAGTGAATGAAAGACAGCCTCAGTCCCCTCGCAAGCGTGTGGCAGGAACACAGCCCAAGTAAATCCAACACAGGTATTAACAGGCGCCCTCAGGAAGCCGAGAGATAAAGGAAATGTTTGCAGCAGGAGCGCGTGCCAAGACTTGAACCTGGCACGTTCTGAACACCAACACAGAATCACCTGCCGCTGTTAAGACCGATATATTTAAATTATACATGTCAGGTGAAAATTAGACTATATAAACTTGTCTGCTTATTCTGAGCAATGAAGAGCACTGCCTTGCAGCACACCGAGAGGCTAAAATAAACATTAATTGCTGAAACCAGGCACTGCAGTACAGCAACGCACGCGAAAAGTTGCTCCGTTCCACATTCCGTGCCTTGGTGGGTGTCGCCTCTATCTTCACACAAACCCGGGGCCGCAGGTAGCCGAAGGCTACAGGCTGACGTGAATTCACTGCCCAACTTTCTCCTTAACAACTGCAGTGAAGACCTCCTGCCCTTGGCAGGAAAAGCCTCCAGCCAGAGAATCCCAACTGTTTAACACTCAGGATTGCAAAAGGCTCTTGCATCAAGCTGAGTTTCGTACAAATTAGGAGGTTTGTATCTGTAATTTTCCCCGTTTCTGAGGAAGTGAAATGCAACGAAAGACCTCCCACGAAGCTACTGGCGAGCTTCTCTCCCCACCATTCAGGGTGCTTTGCTCCTCTTCCTCCCTGGATGATCTAATCTTTGCCGAGGTCAATGCCTGGAGAAATCACTGGAGTTGGCCTTTTTTGAAGAAAGAATGGTTTCTGTCCAATCCTGCCCATTTAATTCAGAGCAACACTAAGAGCTCGTTACTTAATGGGAAAGTATTGTCGTGCTCTGCCTAGCACAAGAAAAATCATTCTATTTCAATGTGTACAGGAAGGCCAGATTTAAAAATAGCTCCCTGGTTTCCTGACCGGGGAAGGAATATACAACCCAGATTTATTGGCTGTTTAGCAAACTGCACGTTCGCTTTGCCTTTAGCATTTTCTTGCCAAATAAATGTGCAAGCTGCAAAGTTAAACAGGATGCCACGCCAGCTCCTATAACTGACCAAAAGGCGGGATTTATTTCTGCAGGAAACAAGCTACTGCATCCTTCCTTCGTCAGACTTTTCTATGACCCATACAGCACGTGGTATTCATGTATTTCAAGACACACACATAGCACATGTTCTCACAGGTGTTGTTTTACAAACCAATGAGTTTGAACGTTTCCGTCACTCTTGCTGCTTCAGTATCTTAGTGGCTTCTTCTTTCTCCTCTGCCTTGAGTCACCCCCAAGCAGGGAGGAGAAAAGGGAGCTGGAGCAGGGGCATGCCTGGCTGGGCTCTCAGCTAGAGGAACTCACACCTCCACCCAAGCGAATCATACAGCCCTTTAAAATATCATTAGCGCTATATGGAGAACTGATGACTATAAAATCCTGTTGAGTGCTCATCTACCTGACAAAACCCCTCAACTTCTTGACCTAGAGAATGTTCCTGCCATGCAGAAGCCTCCCCTCCATCCTGCTCAGGAAAAGGCTGCAATCTGAAAGTGATTTGGCCCGATCCAAAGGCCACAGAATACCCCCTCCTGCTGCTGGAGAGCGTGTCTTCAGCGTTCTCAACCTCTCGGCTTTGCCTCCGAAGAGTTCTGCAAAGGGCCCCTCCGAGCAGCACTGGTGCTAGAATCACAGAATTGTTGAGGCTGGAAAAGACCTCTGGGATCATCAAGTCCAACCACCAATCTGACACCAGCCCAGGGCTGGTCTTGCAAGCGATGCTGTGTCACCAGCAGGGTTTGTCACCCTGAGCTCCACCAGCTCAGGAGGTCACGGGTCAGTTCGAATTCCTCACTATAGTCAACACGCTCACACCTCATTTTCCATGTCGTTATGTCATCAAGAGTCAAGACTTAGTTTGCCCAAATTAACGACTAATATTAGAATAAGATTTAGTGTTTCATGCAGTAAATACTTCTAGATGTCATCATTCCCTCTTGTTCTTCACGTGAAGGATTCACAGAAAAGGATGAAGAAATGCAGTGCAGGCAGAAAGAACGGCAATTCACATGTATTCTGTTGTTGTGGGGAGAAGAAAATTATAGACTCACAGAATCACTTATGTTGGAAAAGACCCTTAAAATTATCGAGTCCAACTGTTAACCTAACACTACCAAGTCCATCAAAATAATCAATACAACACCACCTCTTAAACATTTTATTAAATAGCAGCGTGAAAATTGGGGTGACTAATCCTTGGACACGTAACTCAGGGCATTTGGCACTTTTCTGAAGGAGGTACTTCAGCCAATATTTTTCTGAACGCCTCCTTCATACTTACAGCTGTCCCTCTGGAAGAGCCAACCACAGAGCTAACTCATCTACCCTAAGTACCAACAGTGAAATTAAGAACTCCAAATATGGACCATAAAGCTCTTCTATGCACAAAAAGAAAACTTCAGGTCAATCACTAGACACCCAAAAAACTAACAGGTTCCATTATTTAGCAGTTGCAAGTTTTGTGTGAAATTCACAGCTGCCCATCTGATTTTACTGCCTGCCTTTGCCATCTGTGACGACCGTAGTCCTGTGGCAAGTATTGTGTAACTGTAATTTAGGGCTGGGATATAAAATTAGATTGCATAAGAAACCAAAAATAATGTTCCCCTAGTTCTCAAATTACAGGCTTTTAAATTTCTATTTTTTGTATCATAGATACTAAACAGAACACAAATATTTGAGAGAAAACAGATTAAATGTTCCATTACATCCAACTGTTTATCAGCAAAAGGTTTGAAAATCTGAACTCGCACTACTGCAATAACAAGATCAGGCTTTTGGGGTGGAGAGGCAGATCCACACCCACCTCCTAACGATGGCCTCTTCCCTCTCATCTTCCTCAGACACAGGAGCTACAAGAGCTACTTGTTTCTAGAATTTTGTGCAGTCTGTTCTTACAATAGGAGAAATATAAGGCAGTATAGAAACATTTACGTATTTATTTATGTGGTGAAGAAATGCCATGGTGGCCTGGTTCTGCCTCCAATCCCACCTGCACCTCCAGCATCCTGCGTGCACAGGTGTCAGTACAGCACAAGATGCTCTGTTATACAAGGAAAGATTTATAAATAAATCAGCTGTAGGTACCATGGCTCAGGCAACCTCAAGTTGGGAAAAGACACCATTTTATTTCCCATATAACCCCTGTATGGAATTCAGGCTCTACCACAATAAGCACATGTATTCCACATGTGGAATGCCAGGAAATTAAAACAACTCTTCTGGAGACTGACAGTTACAGGTATCGCTGCGCCTGGCTGTTTTCTATACATAAAAAAAAAAATATATACAAAAACTACCACCCCAAATTTGTGTTTATGACTGCATTCAACTATTCTGGGTGACATATGACAGTCAGTGAGTTACTCAACCGTACTTATCACAACTTTCATACTTCAACTGAGTTTGAGCCACAGACATCCCCCTCTGGTCCTACCCACCAGGCACGGACCACGCTCTGGATACAAACCTTCGCTTTTTCTAATTGTACCCAGCAGCTGTGTGGTCTTCTCTAAACACTGCATGGGGAACTACAAAGAAAACAGTTCCTATAAGTGCCAGAAAGGTTAAGATGCTCTCAGCAGTGTTTTACAACACAAACACAGTCAAAAGAAAAACCAGACAACCAGTCGACAAAGCCACTCTCTGCATCGGTCGGACTGTGCTTTCTGGAATTCATAGCACTTGGCTTCAGTGACTTGTTCACACAACTCACTGGTGAAAAAATGAAGATATTACACTGAACTACAGTTTGGACTTTTCTCCACTCTTTGTTGCAAGTCATAGCACGACACGGTCTATCTGCTGAAAAGCTGCTCGACTTTGTAAGCTGTGAAAGTTCAGAAAGCTGTGAAG